CGCTCACCTGGGTGTATAGTGACAATTTAACAACCCTAAAGAAGTAAGTTCATTTCACAGAATGCATTTCAGCTTGAATTCTTTGACTACATTGCTCACACTTAATTTCAAATATCAGAATTAAGTGTTTCACATTAAAAACTCAGTACTTAATCATATTGGATTAATCCTACAATAGTCGTGAATTAATAAGTTCTAGCTCAGAAGCATTTGGAGAAAAAGGAGAACAATTTGCATAACCAGTAACTCAGAGGATGGGCAGCTGGGTTATGGTAGCTTCAATTTGACAAAATAAAAAGAAAGAAAGAAAAACGCAAGTCTAGATGTATTATTATTTGTGACATGGCTCAAGATGGGAGACTGTGAGGAGAGTGAAGATGACAGAACTGGTGCTAACCACTGTGACAAGAACTTGAAGAGCAGCCGACATGACATCTTTCCTATCATGCTGCCGAAAATGTCAACTTTGTGAAGGACAGTGAGAAAATGGTTTGCCGAAAACTTGAAAGGTGGATTCCAGAGATGCCCTCCGTGTCAGATGTGATATAGTCTGCTGTGGCTGGAGAGACCCACTTCTGGCTCCAATGATGGCCTGCAGGTGGGAGAGCTTCCAGTCTTCAGTGTGGCTCCAAAAATGACTGCACTTGACCTGCATATTGTCTCAAGTTTGCGGGATCATGATATACAAGAAGTGAATTGTTAGCCAGTGTGCAGTTAGGTGGAACCAGAGACTAGGGGCTACATTTGTGTGTGTGCCTGTGTATGTGTGTGTGTGTGTGTGTGTGTGTGTGTGTGTGTGTGTGTGTGTGTGTATTTCTAAAGCTAAGTTCAAAGGCATCTTCTACTAAAATCAGGAGCATGGGGAAGGAAGGACGTGTGCTTTGTGAACTTACATCAAGTTCAATATAAGTAACAAAGAACTCTGGATAATCTAAGCAAAGGGGATTTTATTAAGATGATGCTGGGAGCTCAGAGGAAAGGGAAAACTGGAATCAAGTAGCTACAGAAGAGTAGAAAGCAGGGCCAATGCAGTAGTTTTTAACCCTTAACTCTATGTTCAAGTATTCTGGGGAGCTTTAAAAATGCCAGCATCTAGGCTCTACTGCAGACAAATTGATTCAGAGCTTTGAATGTGGGACCTTTCATGGTTCTGAAGGGCAGTCAAAGATCAAAAACTACTGACATGTGACAATAGTCTGGTTAAGGCACAGCTGCTAGAACAAACAAACTCTGTCTGTTTCTTCTAGCTTTGCATCATTTATTCAATGTCAAGATTCCTGAAGAGAGTGTCCAGATGGCTGAGCTTAGGCCATAGTCCAGCTTAGATATAAAATGGTCATGAAAGGGAGGAGCTGGCCTCTGGGAAGCCCTTCAGCATTAATAATGCGGGAATGGGCACCTCAATTTGTCCTCAACCAAGAATGTTCACAGTGTGGCCAGGGTCATTCCTTCAAACCCAGGGTCTGTTAGAAAGTGATAATGAACAATAAGAAGCCAAACAACAAGAGAAGCAGAACATGTCCAGTTCAGCCTGGAATTTTCTAGCTTGAAGTTTAAAATCCAGCTTCATCCCTCTCCTTCTTTCATTCTTTGTGACGTGTTAAAAGTAAAAAAGATGCACAGCTAGTTTTATGACAATTATAGAAACACCTCCAAATATTTCTAGAAAGACAAAGTGAAACAAAAGCATGGCTTCTGAAAGCAACCAATACAGTTCTACTATTTATTCTGCAACCAGCATTGCTGGGAATGGCACCTTGGAAACAGTATAAATGCCACTTTTGGAAGGAATTGGTTGCTCAATAATGGACCATGTACCTCTTGGAGAAGATCTCTGGCTCCAAATTCACTCCAATATAAGGGAAATTGGGAGCTTTGAATCAAACATACCCTTTCTCTACTGGTAGAAGCACTCACCAATTTTTTTTTTTTTCCCTCTAGAAAAGTGATTCTCAGAGTGTGGTCCTGGAACCAGTAGTACTAATAGCACCAGAAAACTTGCTGGAAATGCAAGTTCTCAGGCCCTACTCCAGACCTACTGAATCGAAACTCTGGGGGTCCAGCATTCTGCGTTGTCACAAGCCCTTCAGACACTGAGGCTCACTCCAATTTAAGAACCGCTGCTCTAGAAAAAGGATTTTTATTGTTTCTGTGAAAAACACCATTCTCCAAAATATTTAGCCAGAATTTTTCAGTTAATAACTCTATAGAAATCTATCTAAACCTGTACAATTAACACTGGCAAATTATAGAGTCAACAAAACAGAAACTGATATTTGACAGAATTTTCAAAAATAATGATATGAAATCAAATTTTAAAAAGGATATTTTTGCTTTTTTAACTGACCTAGTTACAACCTGTGATCTTTGACAAATTATGCTATTTCTGTATGTCTTTTTCTCAGTTTGTAAACCAGCATCCTCTGTTACCAATACCATTTTGAAGCAATTCTGGCAATTACAAACAAATTTGCATTTGATATCAAAATCATTGTTTTTGTTGACTTAGTAAGCTTTTTATTTATTTTTAAAATGAAAGTATTCACACTGACAAAGGCAATCAAAAAGTAAATTTAAGAGACTGCAACAAAAATTTTTAGTTGTTTACTTTTCCTTGGACCAGGGAAACTGATGGTGTCCAGAAAGTAGTCCAAGAAGAGGTTATCAGGGAAGGAGACACTGCTATCTGATACCTTTAATAATCACAAATGGGAATCATCAGAACACGGAAAAAAGTAATCAAATGTTATATTTGTAATAATACCTTTTGTAGTGAGGATTAACAAAGAACGCCAGGCATACACTAAATGTTCTATTCTTATCATCTCAAACACAAAGCAAAAGATTGCCTTTGAATTGCCTAATTGCCTTAGAAGTCTTGTGGAGTAATGAATGAATAGTTTTATTCACACAGAGGTTGATCTCCTAATAATGACCACAGACGTCTCTGGGTTGTCCATGTTAAATGGTTTCATACTTTTTTGCTGTGATCTGTAAACCCCTCTCCGAACTGTAAATTATATTTAATAGCATTTTTCTCTGGGTTAATTAGCTATAATAAGAAACAAAATGCTTTGAATTCCTCCCTTTTTTCCCAATTGAGTGTACATGCACATGCCAGTCACATAAACAAACTTGTGTTCAATGCATTAGCGAGTTGAATTTTGTGTAAACAAAATTCAAAAGCCACAGCTTAAGAAAGATTATAACAGAAATATTGGAGATTACCACAAAAAGTGTTACATGTATTTTATGGGGACCAATGAATTCATCCTGAGATTTAACTGTAGATTCACGAGCATTTCATGTTTTAAAAAAAAAGTGGCCAGATGAGGTGGCTTGTATGTAGAATCTAGGAGGCTGTGATGAGAGGTTCATTGAGGTCAGGAGTTAAACACCAGCCTGGGTATCATAGCAAGACCCTGTCTCTAAATTTTTTTTAATTAGTTAAGCATGGTAGCATAAGCATATAGTCTCAGTTGCTCAGGAGGCTAAGACAGGAGGGTCATTTGATCCCAGGAGTTCGAGGATTCTGTAAACTATATTTGTGACACTGTATCCCAGTCTGGATGACAGAGTGAGACCATGTTTCTTTTAAAAATTTAAATAAATTTTGTAATTAACATTTAAGATTTTTCCCCTAAATTTTAAACAACAGCACATTTCTACATTCCATAACCTATCCGTCATTTACCATTTGCCTTCTTTCTTCCTTTAAGTTTGGAGGAGCATGAAGAAATTGACTGAACAGGATTTTGCATTTGAGAGTGTTTTATATAAAGTGGGGAGAGGAAATTTTCTCATTTTTCAAATAGGACATTTTTAATCTAAAAAGAAAGAAAGCTGACCAATTAACCCCTAACAGGAGGTACAGTGCTATGATTTGCCAAATCTTTTGTACAGTCAGACTGGTGTAGTATAAAGGATTTTCCCAACTTATGCTGGATCCTTGAGAAGGCCTATAAATAAGACCATTTGTTTGGTCTCAAGATGACTTGCATTTGCAAACTGAAGAATGTTCCAATAGAAGTTTTATGGTGACACACCAATCTGCAAACTGGCTCAGCCAGTAGTCAAAACAAGTCACTACGAGATTCAAAGCTAAAGTCTTTGAATGGGTCAGATTACCCTGCATCTAGTTTGGAACAGATCAATTTAAGCTGTAAATGTGCAGCCTTCCATTATATTTTCAACTTGAATAGTTTATAACAAATAGGGGAAATGTGTATGTACCTAAGGGTGACACAGTACCATCAGAATACTATGATCAAACTGAAATCACTCATTTATGCTAGAGTCCTTTTAGTTACAATGAGCAAGTTTGCTAAAATTAGAAAACATATGTGGTTTGTTCTTCAGTTAATACATGAGCACTTAAATTAATCTGAACATCTATAATTATAAGATGGAAATTGAGCCACTTAAGATATTTACTACTAGGAAAGACAGGCACTTGCAAGGCACCTGATTTTCATAGGAGTTTGTGTGCTTAATTCAGGGATCCCAAACCCAAGTGCCTACAAGAGAGACAAGTCATGTAAATTAGAGATGTGGACCAGGTGAGTGCCTGCCCCAGGTAAGAAACAAGCTGTTAGTCACCAATTAATAATGCCAGCTGCTCTGAATTTTCAAGAGACACCGGAAACCAGAACTGTATTCTAAAACTTTCCTAAATGTAAACATGTTGACAACTAGTTCAACTTTGTAAAGATGCCAAACAGAACAAGGCTAGGAGCTGGACTTGACCTGCAAGTCACCAGTTTGTACATTTCACCATTTCACAAGAAATGAGCTACAATTCTGCAAATGTCTCCAAAGTGATAATCTGAAAACAACCCACCCCCTTGAGAAGCTAGCCCTGAATAGCAGGGCTTCTCCTGGGGTCACAACGATCACTGGAGTTGTTTCTTCTAAAATGGACAGTTTCCTCCTGCTAGAGATTTGATTTGATGGTGTCAGCATATGAGGTTCGCGTCACTTCACGACATGTCTTCTTTCAGGCCCGATGGAATAGGAACTGTGACTGTTGAAGAAAAGGAACGCTTTGAAGAAATCAAAGAGAGACTTCGAGTTCTGTTGGAAAACCAGATTACACATTTTAGGTAAGGAACTGGGATGTAAGGACTTTAGGTGAAACTGGGGGAGGAACAAATAAAGGGCTTAATCTTCCAAAACTGTAAACCTACCAGAGATACATTTGATGTTTAGAAATAACTGAGTGGAAAAAGCAAACCAATCAGATGTGGTTCCATGATAGCCAGGAGACTTTGAATTCTGAAGATCATTTTGCTTTTGCCAAAAGAAAAAAAAAAGCCTTTATTGTGTAATTAAACCCCAGTCATCAATCTATTATAAAAAGTTGAATTTGAAACCCTTTCAAGGATCCTAAAAAAAACAGTAGAAAAAAAAAAATCCTGTGAATCAGATCATAGTGAACAGGGAAGGAGGGCAGTGGTCCTCACAGGAGAATCTTCACCCTCTCCACTACCTCAAAAACAGAATTAGCTGGCTATACCAGGAAGACAAAACTTGGGTCAGCCCTGCAGACTGAATCTGCCCTGCACGCTGGAGACAGCCAGCAGATCCTGCTCGTGAGCCAATACTACATAGCCCACTTCTCCCTTGGAGCAAATGAGGCGTTTCTAATACTGTACTGGTGGTTCTGGACAAGAGATACTGAAATGGTAGCTCAGAAATAGTAATAGCATTTATAATAGCTGCTTATGTGTTAAATACTTCCTATCTGACAGATACAGGACTGGGGGCTGGAGAAGTAGTAACTCATGTCAGAATAACTTTGTAAGGTAGTTATTATAACCTCCATTTAAACAAGGAATAAAATAAGACTGAGAGAGATTAAGGAACTTGCCCAAGACCATCCAACTGGCAAGGGAAAGAATGGATGTGCACATAGGATACTCTGAGAGTAATAAGTTCCATGTAGGTCTCTCGTCCCTTGCACAGTGTTCTGAAGGGCCGGTGACAACCTGAAACAGGAAATTGTGGTGGTACCTGACATCATTCTTTCTGTGCCATCAAAATCCCCTGGACAAATCTATATGTGAAGTGCATTCCCAATATCAAAAGGCCCATAACAATGAAAAACTACCAGCAAGGAAGGGCATTCAGCAGAATCATGAACTTGCTGTAAACACACTTCTCTATTCCATATATTAATCCTTTGGGGATTTAAGTAAGTGTATTTGAATTTCAGCCTGTTTCAATTAATAGATTTCTTAATGCTGGCCTCAATAATAATGATATATAAGGTCACATTTCAGTTAACAAATAGTTCTCCTTAACAATAGAAATCTAAACAGAGCCTATATCATCTCTCCATTTTCTTTTCTGCTGCAGACATTTGCAGAGTCCCTCTTTAGTCATTATTCACACATACACATATATACATTATATACACACATATATGGTGTGAATTTAGATTAACATAATACAACGTGACAAAATAAAAAGCATTTTCCATTCCTCAGGGAGAGTTGCTATAGGAATCAAATTGCAGCATCTTTCATGCTAAAATGTAATAATTTGGACTACCTGAATAATTTTATGTCTTTTTTAGGTATTGCTTTCCATTTGGTCGACCTGAAGGTGCTTTAAAAGCTACTCTCTCACTCTTGGAAAGGGTAAGAATGAAAGCAAAAGACAGATCACATATACAAAGGACATAAACATAATTGTAATGGAATAATGTGGTTGAATGACCTAGTTTGTAATTTTTACAGGGTGTGTTTGCCATTCATCAAATATCAGAATAAAAGTGAAGAAATGGCCAGAATTCTTGATATTTTATCTCTAAACTCCCAAATAGGATATATTGAAGATATGTTCCTAACCTTTCCCTGATTCATAGACAGCTTTGCCATCTTAACTGTGCATTGTGATTCCAGCGTTTTCTCTTTAAATATAGCTCTCAATCGGTATTAAGTCACAAGGAAACATTCACAACTAATTTTAAACTTGAACTCTTCAAGAAGTATAAATAACGCATTTGCTTGAACCTTCATAATAATCCCTTTTTTTCTGCCTAAAGGTTTTGATGAAAGATATTGTTACCCCAGTGCCACAAGAGGAGGTAAAAGCAGTCATCCGTAAATGTCTGGAGCAGGCTGCTTTAGTCAACTATTCTCGGCTCTCAGAATATGCCAAAATCGAAGGTAAGGCTCCCTTCTGCCCCCAGTTTTGAATTTAAATTTTGGTATATTTCCCTGGGGAAGTTTCTCTCTTTTCTGAAGGGCACCAGAAAACAGTGGTCTGTCTGAATATGTTAAGCCGAAACCTGAAAACACTTGCAATGTGGAAGCTTCCTTGGCTGTGGCCAAGCAAATGAACTAAAAGACAAGACAGGGGTTAAGGAAACAGCCTTTGTAGGGGAGCAATATGTAGGATGTTAGCAGATAGCTAAGGTCCTTCTGAGAGTCTGTGTTGGCCCTAAGTATCTGCTCTGTAACTGGCGTTTTCCAATGAAAGGGTTCTGTAGGATTGCTACCTTCCTTAAACAGAAGACAACGAAGCAGTTTGTTGTCCACTTCTAATAGCATTGGAAATAAAACAAGAATTGAATACAGCAACATCAAGGCTTTACCTAACTCTTTCTTGTCCCCTGAAAGTAACTTGTCTTCTGGGGAGTGATTCAAACTTGATGGCAAGTTAGTGATGAGCCATGTCTGATGGCTCTAGGTTGGCTTTAGATCTCATTCATTCTTGTTACTCCAGACCTTGGATGCTTGTTACCATGCCCTCTCAAGTTTTAGGGAAGCGGTCATTGATGACCAAGTAATCACCAAAGGCGCTTTGAGTAAACTCTACTTGAGAAGATATGGTTCTTTGGGACCTATTCATTCACAAAGGTATTAATCACTTTTCATTGTTACCCTGTTGGCTGCTATAGGGTGATTTGAAAACCACACCCAACTTGACCAGTGGTGTAAGTGTATAAATGTGGAAGTTCTGTGTGCAAAACTTGATGTGTCCGCATTCTGGATTCTGATGTTCTCTCACACATGAAACACGACATCTGACTAAAACCAGCAAATGTACATTGTCTGCCTCAGGACAACTGGGAGGGGGGAAAAACTAACCAATCACCCAGACCCTATCACTTACTCTGCCAAAGTCCTTGTTTCCCTAGAGAATTAGGTTAAGATCATGTCAAATTCACAGTGTTCTGTACATTACATGTCCTCCCACTCTCAATTTTGTCTGTCTGACAATGCAAATTGTGTACCAGTGGTAATGAATTCGTTGTTATGCATCCAGGGAAAAACACTTAAGAATTGGGCACTAAAAGGATGTTTATCAACTCTTGACTTGGTAATGAGTGACAAAAATAGAGAAATGAGAAGATTGTTAAAGGGCTATATTATTAGCAAATAATTGTTCCATGATTGACCGTCCCAGGACGTAATGATTGGTTATATTTGATAAAGTCAGCCAGGTACCTAGTAATTCAAGGCAAGACCAGAGATGGGATGGGATCAAGAAACGTTCAGTTGCCATGGCTGCTGCCTGATAGGTCTTGGTCTAGCTATTATTAGTCTTTTGGTAAGATCTGCTCTCTTCTTTCAGATAAATCTATCCCAAAACAAACTTTAAGATCTGTAAGTAAAAATGCATTCATTTCCAAAGTAGATCAACTGGTCTGTAATTTCCTTTTGTGCCTCAATTCTTCTTGGTTGTGTTAATTATCTTTTGCACTGTGACTTTTAGGTCTGGGGATTCTTTGAAGATACCAATCCTTTTTTTCCAACTCTCTTTTCAGAGAAGTACCTCATTCCACACTACCTGCTCTCTTCCGCTTCTCTCCTTCCTTGTCCGTGATTGGCTCAGCCACTTTTTGACGTGACCTCTGCAAAAGTGGCTGAGACACCAATTTCAAAGCATGCTGGGATTGTTAATTCAGACAACCCAACATCCTCTGGCTGCATGTATCAGGTTTTCTTTCATGAACATAGTCCACCATAGGCTGAGACATTGCAGCTTTAAAGATATTACTACCAGACAACTTTCTTTTACAAGGCTCTGATCTTATCCTCAGAGAAGAAATCTTTCTCATTTTTACATTTGAGCCACTCTGTGAGCACTAATAGCTTAGTTATCTGAGAAATCTGGAAAGAAGTTGTAGTAATATTGCTGGAGACTATGTTTATGAAGAAATACCTCAAGAGCCTTAGATACTAAAGTCTGAAATCCTTAGTATCTTGGAGCCTTAAATCAATGAAATTTTGTTTCCCTTTACTCATGATGTTTTTGGTCATTGTATTCTTGCAAACAACTCTAAAGAGACGTGTAAAATCATGGTCACAATCTCTCTCGTGACTCACGGCATGCTGAATGGTTAATCCAGTAGAGCTCCAATTTGAAACTCCTTTTTTTCTTTTATCCTGTGTTTATCCCAAAATACTCTGTGGCTATTTTCCCTTGAGCTAATGTAACGTTTTCCTCTAACCTATGTCCTTTAACCTCTTTACCTCTGACCTAAGCCTCTTGCATGCCCAAATCCTCTTTTATAGGGAAAAAGAGAGAAATGTATGAGCATCCTGTCTTCTGCTTGGCCTCCCAAGTGATGGATTTAACCATTCGTGAGTACCTACCACCTCCTCACCATGCTGTCTTCACTCTTTCTGTTTTCATTATTTCAAGAAAATCCAGATCCAAACCAACTCACTTTCCTTGCTTCAAGTTTTTTAGCATTGGCTTGTCTGTTGGTTCTGTCTGTGAAACCCAGTGTGAGAAGTCCAGTCACTTTTTATCAGCCTAAAACAGGTTAGACAATTAAGCCATTTGTTTGTGATAAACTCAGATTTGTCTGTAAGTTTTTCAGTTATTCTCTGTCTGTGACCTGAATGCATTTTTACTTTGCTTGTGTGTAACCCTAATTTGTAAAGTGCTTGTCACTGGTACACAATAAAAAGGTAGCAGCTAGGCTGGGGAGCAATGCGTTAGGTGTCAGATAAAGGACATTTGGGGCAAAGTCATGCCTTCTTTTCCATGTTTAAGATGTCAAACTATTATGGGTATGAGATCACACCAGGTGGTCCATTCTTTGTAAAATTAGATCTTATATGCCTCCTGTCTGTTCTCTCTCAAGCTGGGAAGCTTTTCCTTGTTCTCTCTGGAGATTTTGACTTGTCCTTGTCCTCTAAACTTTGGCTAGAACATATGACTTAATTGTCACTTGGAGAGTTCATGTATGTTTCATAGCTTGATTTCACATTAAACTTAATTTTACTAATTTTCTATTTGTGCAGCATTTTCCACCTCCGTGAAGGAGCCTTTTTTTGCTGGCCCCCACACTTCGGGGCGGTGGGAACCCAAGGGCAACCTTTTCTTTCCAATATCATGTATCACACATAAGTGGGGGGCATTTTGGTCCACTTGCTCATTAATCCTGCATATGTGTTCTTGTTTCTCTCTCTTCTCTCCTTGTTGTGCTCTCTCTTTCAAATAGAGAATCAGAAGGATGCAGGTGAACCAATTGTATATGCATTATAAATTATCAGGACTGTTGAGTTATATTCAGTTTTTGTTTTTGTTTTTGTTTTCTAATAGCTCCTTAAGGTATGTACTCCCAGAGAGCCATGTGGAGTTGCAAAAATACTTAAGGAGTTAATTTGTGCTGTCTAAATACATCTCATGCCCATCTGATGTTGACCTTTATAGAACAGAATTTCTGAAAAGGCATAAGCTTTGAAGGAACAGAATTCTGGTTTGCTGCAGAGTTTCATTTCATCTTTGGTTTTAGGATACCAGTGATTTGGCCTCATGTGCTTTTAAAAGAAAAACAGTTGCTGAATCAAATGAATTCTCCTCTTTGTTTTTCATTTGTTTTTTCTGTTTTCTGCCCTATTGAGAAGTTTGTGTTCTTCGATGAATGTTTATCAGACAAGACAGAGAGAAGTTGTGTTTATGTTGTTTTTGTATATATCATGTAATGAAGGAGGAAACAAGGACGGGATGACCAAATGGGCTGTTGCTAGTAGTTTCATGAGATGAAAGTTCTAGAAAGTTCTCTGGTTTTGGAAATGTTCTTCTTGTTTGGTCCCCAAAACTTCTGAGTCTATTTTGAAAAGGGCTCTGACTTACAACTTTAATAAATGTATAATATTCATCATTATTTGTAAAGGCCAGAAGATTCTCAAAAATAATTATCAGTTAATTAGCATCAACAGCTGAGCATATTCCAGAATAATTCAGAAAGCATTTGGGAGTATATGCCAAGTATGAGGCTTTGCATAAGTATTTGAAGACTCACAAACCTATGTTCCAGATACATGAGCATTTCTCTCCCTGAAGGAAAGGTATTTCTTTATTCAGTCATTCATTCAGTCATTCATTCACTCATTCATTCATTCGTTCATTAGACAAGTGCTTAATGGGAGCCTACCCTGATGCAGGTACAGTGTTAAAAGGCAGGGACTATGTAAACAAGAGGGAAACAGCTGTTAACCTCATAGAACATATGTGCAAATGGGTGTTATGTGTAAATCAATACACTGCAATGCCTATTGTAGATTATGTGTAAGAGGCATGGAGCATTGTCAGAAGACCATGGAAGTCTTCACAAGATGGGAAGATGAATTCATCTTGGGAGATGAATTAGAATCAAGTAAATGGAGCTAGAATTAGGAAGTGGGAAGTCATCCTTGATAGAGTAATATGTGCAAGTTCACAAAACCATTTAGCTAATAAAAATAACAAATGCTTATGTAATGCATATACTGTGCCAGGAATGATTCTAAATGCCTTAACTGCATCAATTCATTAATTCTTAAAACATAAGAGAGATACTAGCATTATTCCCATTGAGAAGACAAACAAACTGAGGTACACATAGTTTAAAACATACACTTCTGGAAGGATAAGTGGTGGAGCCAGAATGTGAGCCCAGACAGAGGCCACACTCTTAACTATTCTGTAATTAAGTCAATGTGCTGCAAAAGCAGGGTGAAATGATGGCATAATGGGTGCTGATAATTGCAAGGTAGGCAGAGACAAGATTTTAAAGGTCTTTCTGTGCCATAATAATAGAGTTTGGACTGTATCTCATCATCTAAAGGTTCTTAACCTAGAATCAATGCCAACTTTTGCATGCACATAGGTTTTTCAGAAGAAAAATTCCACAGATCTCATCTCCAAATGTGATAGAGAGCCATTGGAGGCTCTTTAAGCAAGGGGACAGCTTAGTGACTTGCACTCAAGAAAAACCACAGTAGCAACGATGGAGGGAAAGGACTAAAGAGAGAGAATAGAGTAAAACTAGATTTAAAAGTGAATATCAAAACAGAGCTGGGTTTCAGGTTTGGTAGAGTCAAGGCCTTTTCTGAGTATATCAATCTTAGTCACCATCATAATCATAATCATAGATACTTCTTTCTTGGCCTTCAAATGTTTTTTTTTCCTTACTCTCCCCCTCCCTTTTCAATATCCTTAGAGGAAATAGAGCACAAATACATGGATGAGACTGAACAACCAACTGTATGGAGATAGCAGGGCACCACCAGAGTTCCATGTATACACTGCAGTGAGGTAGAATACCAGGGAATGGAATATGGACACCTACTGGTGCCCGTCATCAGGTTGCTTTAAGAGTCTACAGGACTCTGCAGATGGCATTTTGGTGGACTTATGGTTTCTGTCTGGTAGCATTATTAGAAATTAAATGTTCAGTTTAATTACAGTATCTCAAAAAAAGATGTAAAAGGCTGCTAGTCTATGAAAGAAAAGCTGTGACTCCTGCAAATGAATTCTATTATTTTAAATACATTTCCATTTAAACCATCACACATTCTGAACCCAGCAAGCTCTGAGAAAGTCTACACTACTATTGCTGTTTTGCCTCAGTTCTTGGCTAAATACTTGCATAATTTTCTGAGCATCATAACGATTCCAGTGGAATTTGAAATAAAACAATTTTTTCCTTCAAATATGCCAAGGATTTGCAAATCAGACAGATGATGATTTATAGATAGACAACAGATATAGATAGAAATAGATTAGATAGATAGATAGATAGATAAAGTAGGAGAGGGAAGGAGAGAAGAGGGAAGGGGTGGGGAGAGGGAAGGGAATGGAAGAAGAGAGAAGGAGGGAGGAGGGAAGGAAGGAAGGAAGGAAGGAAGGAAGGAAGGAAGGAAGGAAGGAAGGAAGGAAGGAAGGAAGGAAGGAAGGAAGGAAGGAAGATGGATGGGTGAATGGATGGGTAGTCAGATAAAGGATGTGGGCCTAAGCATAATGCTTAAGACTTTACATGCAGGATCTGACGACTTTATTTTCAATAAACTTGAAGGCTTTAGTTTTGTCCCTTTTACAAATGAAAGAGCTGAAATTCAGTGAGGATAAATGACTTTCCCCAGCAGGATTTTAACTTGGGTCTATCAAAATTCAAGCACTGTGGTTTGTTGTTGTTGTTGTTGTTGTTGTTTTTTAATGTTTTCTTTTGTTTTGTTTTTAAGACAGGGTCTTGCTATGTTGCCTAGACTGGTGTCGAACTCCTGGCCTCAAGCAATCCTCCTGCCTCGTCCTCCCAAATTGCTGGGATTACAGGCATGAGCCACTGCACCCTGCCAGCACCATGCTTTTTTGTCTCTTTCTACCATACAGCCTTTTCAGCTGATGTGGTTAGCACTTAAACAATATGTATTCATTCAGTGGAAAAGGTCAAAAATACCTACAACTTTTATCATAGGAAGACTATCAACTAACAGAGCAGTCCTTTCTGGGACCAGATCATTGCCAAAATCTACATCATAAAGCTTTCAGAGGGCAGTTGAGATTCCCTAAGATTGCCAAAGAACTGAGGACTTTTTTTTCTTCCCATTTGACTGAAGCCTTCTAGAGTAGGTCACATCTACCCAAAGAACTCCAAGCAGATTCTGTGATGAAAAGCCTCTATATCTTTCACTATCTCCAGGCAAATTTCCTGTAGGTCTAAGGCTTGTTGAAAGAGAGAAAGAGACAGCCAAGCTGGCAATAACCCTCAACACACAGTGCAAAGCCACTAACTTGCTGTCTGCCCCAAGGAACCAGTGAGGGTGCATCTCACCCCCACAAGATCCAGGCCATTCTGAGATGAGGACCATCTCATGCTTCATGTCTTATACATGAGGGAATAAATGTTTCTCTTTTCATTCTCTTTGTTTCAGTGATCCATAAGTCAGAGTTTCCAAGACCAAATTACTCTTTGGACTGCATTTCATCCATACTTCACAAAAAATGACGGGACATTTCAAACACTATCACCAAGAAGGAATTCAGAGGAAAAGAGAATATGCCATGAGCCAATAAATATGAAACCATTCTCTCTCCTCCCAGAGAAAACAATATGATGCTATAGGTGATGATAACAAACCTGTCATTTACTGAAAATTTAGTACATTCTAAGTAGTTATATGCACATCTCACTTAATTCTCACAAAAACCCTATAAGTATGTTCCTACCATATTTCATTGAATGCAAAAGGCTGTCAATTAGAAGATGCACCATTCATAAACTCCTAAGAATGAGATAACGTTACCATCAACTGTTAGATGCATCCAGATTTCAGAAATGTTAAAATGTGCCTCTGAAACCCAATGAAATAAGAAATGATGCTTTTGTGCATGGATATCCTGAAACAGAAGTTGTTAACTAACTTGCCCAAGGTTAAACAGCTGGTTAGTTACAGAGTTAGAATTTGAACATGAGACTGATTCCAATACCCATACTTTCATCATCGACAGTATGAAACACTTGTGGTTTATTAGCAATAAAGTTGCAAGACCAAGAGGGGCTTCTTAGTCACTTAATCTCAAATCTTCATTTGACAGATGGGAAAACTGAGGTCTGCAGTAAAGAACCCAGTGTCAAAATAAAATGAGTAGTGACTCTCAAGTTTGTTCTGTGCTATTTCAGAGCCATTGCTACCTGCCAGGTGCCTTACCTTTCGGTCAAGGTATGATGGCTCCATCCATAATCCCTTAGCCGACCTGAGCATCCAATATGACAGCTGATGACATCCAGTATCCACATATCAAAATTATATATGTACAACTCCAAAAACATTCTTCCTCAGAACCAACCTGAGTACTCAGGGATTTGTCATACCCTGAATTCAAACCCTTGTCTTGACTCTACCAGGTTTTCTAACCTCTGTAACCTCACTTTTACTTTCTGCAAAAGATGCTTATAATGATTCTTCCCCCACAAGGTTGCTGCAAAGATTAAAATACATATTTTAATATTTTTTGTAGGAGGAGTATTTATTTCTATTAATAGAAATTGTATAAGGTTTTGAGAATTAGGTGGAATCTGGTGGCCTCTAAGCTGTATTTTAATATTTCATACAATATTTGAAGAAAATAAAGCCACTATTAGTCAAGTAAAGTACATATTTTAAATAAAGCTGTTATCACAGTGGTACATAGTAAGCACTTATCACATATGTAAACTGTTATTATTTAAAAGGACATTCTTCCAAATTCAAATGT